ACAAGACTTGACAGCCTTGTGAAAGGGAATACCTTTGCCCTTACCTTTACCTTTACCTTTACCTGGGTGATTGTTGCCATCTTCATTGTGGGAACCCATTCTCTCTTTCTGTGTGTATTTTTGTGCCCAAGAGAAAATAATACCTGAAGCGGAAGTTCTCAGTCTTGGAGGTATTTCCCTCCCCTTCCTCTCCTAGCTGCTGTTCTAAAGGTCACTGGAGCTCATTTTGCCTGGGTTGTGACTAAAAGAACAATTCACCACCTGAGATGAGCGCTGTCTGGTTATACTACCGCTTTAGCTTAATTTGCATGCACTGTTTCAGAGTATTAATATATGTGCTGTATATATGTGTGTGTATCTCAAAGGAATCATTCTCTTTTAATATTCTCAGTAGTTAGAAGCAGTGGGAAGAAGAGGTTATATTACTCCTGGTTTTAAAGGAAATGTGCAATGTTCATTCTTGCAGGGTTTAAAAAGAAAAAAACCCAACATGTTGCTGTAAGTTTTGTTAAGGTGGCACAGATCCACACACTAAATTCTGGGTCACACAGTGAATGAACTAAGAACATGGTTGTACAGCAGGAGCCAAATGCAGTTGGATTGATTTTCTGTTGAAATTGGTGCTAAAACTGGCTGATAGCCACAGACTCCATTAATTCCACAGTTGTCTACTTTGAAGTCTTCAGCAATGGATCAGGAGTGTGTTTTGCTAGCCTCACTTTTGGTGGGATCTGTTTTCTTGGTACTGCCAAGTCTTAGATCCCCAAATTTCCATTTTCATGATCTTTTGGTTGGCTTAATAAATGGATTGTTTGGCTCTAGTATGGATTCTGGAATTTTTCTTATGGCCAACAGGTATCTATATCCTAAAACATATTCTACATTTTTTAAACAAATGATTAGTTGACAACTGAAGTATTAACAACAGCACAATGCTGGCAGCATTTACCTGGTAGACTGGGTTGTTTAATTTTAATTTTGTTTGTTTGTTTGTTTTTGGCCATATGACTGTTGGTAAATATTAACACTTCCAAAGTCTCAAAGTCTCAACACAAAGATCAGTGTGCTTTTAGTCTACTTGACTTTGCCATATTTCTATAGCATGCTTACAGTTGATTTTCTTTAAAAAAAACAATTGTTGTTATTTACTGTGTTAAATAAGGCTAGGGCTCTTTGAAGATTATATAATTTTAAAAATAAATTAGTTGTGTAGTAATGTGTTTATCTTGAAAACATTCTGAGTATCTGTTGTAGCCTATCTATAGTTCTCTCTATATCTATGTTGCTGAGAGTTCTCCCTGATCCTTATAGTCTATCAATAAACACTGCTTCAGCTATTAGGAACATACAGCCTTTTATATGCTATTGATGCAGTAAGTTATATTATTCCTTCCAAAAGTCTTAAGTGTGTTTCTTTCACCCATGAATGCACATTTACCTGCTAATTGCAGAAAGCCACCAGTCATTCAAATGTTTCATGGGTGGTATTCTTGATATGCTCTCAGCAAAGGTTAACATTCTGACAACTAGCTAAGTACATATTGATTTTCTTTCTCTCATTGAAAACTTCTTGTTAAATTGAACTGCTCCATTCTTAAGAGTGTATGAGATACTCAGTAAAAATTGTGTAATGCTCTCTGTTATCATGTTATGAATACCTTGTAACTGTGTTTCAAGCACCTTATTCTTTTATATATTTTTAATCACAATAATAACAAATCCTTGATTAAATCTCTATTTGAAGAAAAAAATAGCTTGGACTTATATGTAAAATGGCACATCTGTTCTTGCCTCTGGAATACTCTCCCACAGGTATACTTGGAAAAGCATCTATTTTTATTCTGTTGAATTCTCCCTCATTCATCAGCCTAGCAGACGGAATTTCACAACAGTTCCAAAGCTTTCAGTTCATTCTTTTAGCAGAATGCTTCAATTACTTTTAAAAATAAACTCTCATAGGCATAAATCCTATCAGTCTGAACTAGAACTACTAAGCTATTGAATCAATTGGATTTACCTACATGTTGACTTACTATTAGACAACTGACTTAGTGGGTTTGCTCTAGTTGGGATTAACTAATATGATTCTATGCATAAAGTTCTAATGGAGAACAAAATCAGCATCTTGGATCTGTATATCATAATTTGTTCTGCAACACAGAATGCTATGTTGTTGTTTGTGGGAAACTATTCATTCATAAGACAACTGCATACCTTGATTAACCCAAAGGTTATACTCTCCAAGCAGAGAGTATACTCTCCATACACGTTGAAGAATTGAAATTTATTAGTGTGTTTATTTTAATGAATGGCACCGGATACAAGGAACACTCTTCTTCCTGTTTTTGTGCTTAGTTTGTGGCGAGCACAGATGTTTGTAAATGTGGAGAAGGAGAAAATGAAGCCGTTCTTAATTTCATACATGGGGGATAGTTTCTTCCCTTTCTCTATAGGTTTTGTGTTAGTTACATTTATATCCCACTTTTCCTCCAGTGAGTTCAAGGCTGTATACAAGAATTACCCACTCCCAATTTATATTCTCCATGCAACCCTGAGAACCAAGTTAGGCTGAGAATAGTAACTAGCACAAACATCATTGTGAAGGTAGACTCCAGGATTCTCCAGTGCTGTACCCATTACACCACATTGTTCATAACTGTAAGCATAGTTATGGTTATTATTCATTCATGGGTTTGTTAAGGAATGTAGCAGCATCTTAAGATTAACTGGTTTTTGTTGGAGCATGAGCTTTTGTGGATATAAACCTACTTCTTCAGAGCAGTACAGACAAACACGTTGCTACATTCCTCCCCTTCTTTTTTATGCTACAAGAGACTAACATGGCTACGACTTTGAAAACTACACTCATGGGTCTGTTGTGGATGATGGGTCAAGCAGTGTCAGAAAATAAAAAAATAAGGGAAATCTGTGGGTAGATTATAGGTGAGTGTCATCACAAGTAGCACCATGCATTCTTTAAAGTTTCAGAAGTTCTAAAACTTTCAGAATCTCAAACAAGGATTGCTGATATTTGGACTTTTAATTATAGAAGTGATTTGGAGTGAGTGGCACAGGGCTGGGACTTCTTCTCTCTCATCACTAGAGAAGTGAAGAATATTCCGTACTGCCCAGGCATTTCCCCTGTGGCTTCATATTCAATTTGCTAGCTTCCCTGGGTTGGTTGTATAGCTGAATCTCCTGTAACATTGTCCTTTCTCTTTAGTCATCACTTACTTCATTTTCATAATGTTTTAAATATTTAAAAGTCAGCATTCTTGCTCTGCCACTTTCTCTTTCATATAATCTAAATGTCCCCCCGTTTCATTCTGCTCTTCCTTTTACCTCATTTATTCAGATTTGTCAATATGATTGTCTTCCTTTAAATTAAAATACTGTTTTATGCAGGAATAAGGCTTTGATGGTTAGGCAATAGAACATAATTTTTCTGTTGGGAGAAACTCTTTTTCATTTTATCATTTATCCATTTGATAGCCTTCCTAATTAGTTTTAATGGATGTTCAACTTCCTACTATTTCATATTTTGTTTGATAAATTTGACAGAAAAGTGAAATAGTGTGTGTGTATTCCCCCTTCAATTTCTTTAGCTTTTTAAACCCTGAAGGCCATTGTGTTCACAATGAGCATCTGAACTTGAACATAAGTTCCCTTGTATACCTGAAAGGAAGGAGGAGTTGACTATGATTTGTGTAGTGAGCTGAGCATTAGAGCAGTAATAAACCCTATGCAACTAAACACTACCCTTACTGACACCTTTTGCAAATCAATGAGCTGTACTTCCAAAAAAGGCACAATGGTACTGAAATTTATGCAGTTGTATCCACTTGTAATGAGCTATAAACTTGGCACATGAAGGGAGAATGCTTTTACTGAAGTGAAACAGACTTAATTGAGGTCAGAATTTAGTCTAACATTCTGTCTCTTTCAGTAAAGGCATCTCTCAAGCAATGAGCTGGAGCCATGGCAGTTTGTGTGGTGAATGCATTTATTCCTGTCTCTTCCAAGAAAAATTCTGGCCTGCCATCATCCCAGTTCCCAACTCTGACTTCTAGTGGTGCTGAAAGACATCTTGGTTCTTTGCTTCCCATATCTATTTTGGTTAATAGTACTGTCGGCCCTCCATATCCACGGAGTCTTTATCCACGGATTCAAACAACCACAGCTTGAAAGTATTTTTAAAATATATAAATTTTAAAAAGCAAACCTTGATTTTGCCGTTTTATATAAGGGACACCATTTTACTATGTCGTTGCATTTAATGGGACTTGAGCATCCGCGGATTTTGGTATCCATGGGGGGTCCTGGAGCCAAATCCCAGCGGATACCAAGGGCCCACTGTATATATGATAAGTAGGACTCCTTCATAGTTCTTGTGAATTATTGCTGTTGCAGGTCTTCTTTCCATCTTACAGCTATTGTAGGAACTTTCTGTGAAAGTTCAGCAAGACTTATAAATGTTAAATTGTTACAAGTTCTAGAGAGATTCATAGAACTATATAGATCTATAACCCAAAAACTTTAGTATAGCAAAGCAATTGCACCTTCATATGTAGTCATACGAAAGCCAGTGTGGTGTAGTGGCTTGAGTGTTAGACTGAGACTCTGGAGATCAGGGTTTGATTCCCGGCTGGGCCATGAAACCCACTAGGTGACCTTGAACAAGTCGCACACTTTCAG